GCGTCAGTACCATGTGGCGGTGTTGTATGAAGACGTAAATGCCGTGTGCAGTGAGACGTTTTTTTTGCTTCCCTTCAGCCTCTTTGAGGTGCTTCACCTCCACGAGCACCGCGATGCGGCTGGGCAGCGGGCGATTGCGTTTGGGTTGTTGGTAGTGGCGGTGACATAACTACGGAACTTTGTTTTTTTGGTTGCAGAATGAAGGCATATGCAGCGTGCGTAATGTGGTGTTTTTTTTTCTTTCATTTGATGCCGGGTATCGCTTGGAGAGGATGGAGACGAACGCCCGCCGCCATTTATTATTGTTATTTTGTATTGTTTTTATTGTTTATTTCAATTTTCTTGTTACGCTGCGCCCCACTCCTGCTGCAGTGCGCTGATGGAAGTGGGGGCGTTGGGGAGTTTGTGGAGGTGGTGGGGGGTCGTGATGGGAGGTCCCGCCGGCATGCGCACTGTGTGTTGCTGCTGGCGGGGTTTGAAGGGGCTGGGCGGGGTAGACGGTAAGCGAGGTGGTTATGAATTATTATTATTATTTTTATTTTTGATTTCTGCGGGGGCGTCCCACACTGCGGACTCTCCGTGCGGGTGCGTGTGGGTGTTTCTTCGGGCCGCGCACAACAGTCGCTGCTACCGCCGCCTTGTTTGCGGCTGCCGTCTCTTGTGGGGGGCGGCGAGTGTGAGATCGTGCGGTCTAAGTGTTTGTCGGTGCGGCCTTCGTTGTGGGCTCTCGCTGTTTTTTGCGGTGAGCCCAACTGTGGGTGCGGGCGGTGCTCGTCCTTTTTTTTTTTCACCTCACTTTTCTCTCTCTTCCACACACACACACACACACACGGAAGGAAAGAAACCAAACACCACTTGCCGCTGTGCGCTTTGAGGTCTCTGCAGACATAACCAGCAATACACACACATATACCACATAATCGTCGCAGCCTGAGCGTATCCACCACAGGCAGAGAGAGAGAATGAGTGAGCAGTGGCACGTGCTCAATATGTGCCGCCATCTGTTTTCTTTTTCGGTGCAGCTCCTTTTTGTGCTGTTGATATGCTTTGGCAGTGCGGCTGTGCACGCCGAGAGGAATAAACCAAACGAAATGCAAATACCAGACCCTGTCGATCTTTTTGTGCCGCATCGAACGATTGTGGAAACACAAGGTCAAAGTCAAACGAGGGATTCTTTTGCCCACCCTTCCCTCGCCAGTGCTGGTGGAGTGTTGGTCGCACTTGCCAAGGGTAACATCTTCTTTCAACACTCCCGTGATAATCAAACATGGATCACTTACGCTGATATTGTGGCTGGGTACGTTGACTCTGCGGAGAGCTGGTCGTCTTTTGTTGCTAAGGTCCGTGCAAACAAATCGAAGGCGTACAACATCTTTAACACGACCACGCAGGAGGAGCATAACGACCGTGTGAGATATGCGGTCCGACCCACAACAGTTGCAAAGGGCAACAAGGTTTTTCTACTTGTGGGGGGCTATCATCAAAAATATGATCCTTCATCGAGGGAGTGGATTGCATCCTCCCAAGGTCTTGATTTGCTCGTGGGTGAGGCCACGCAAGATAAAGTCATCCAATGGGGCAAATCCACCTCGCTTGTGCCACAGATCGAACCGTCTGCTAAACAACTTGACTTGGACCAGTTTATTGGTTGTGGTGGCTCAGGCGTTGTGATGGAGGATGGCACACTTGTGTTTCCTGTGACGGCGAGGAAGATAGGAGACGATGAATTTCTCGCCATGATCATTTATTCGAAGGACGACGGCAAAAATTGGGTGCTTCCACATGGGGCGCTCCCTTTACGGTGCACTGACCCCCTCATCGTTGAGTGGGAGCAGGGGCAGCTTGTCATGGTTGCCAAATGCATTTTTCTCTTGAGGGTGTTCGAGTCGAGGGACATGGGGGCAACGTGGAAGGAGGCTGTCAGGACACTCACACGCGTGCATCCCAGGGTTTTTCCGAACTCTTCGCGAACAGCTGAGAGAGTGGGGTCCATCGCCACTGCGACCATTGCAGGAAAGAAGGTCATGCTGTACACTCAGAAAGGGATTCTCCGTGATGACCCGTTGCAAGCCACCGCGCTCTACCTTTGGGTCACTGACAACAACCGCACGTTTCACGTCGGGCCCATTTCCATGGACCCTTACACGACGCCGACGTCTGGCAACACCCTGCTCTATTCGAAAAATGCGTTGTACTTTTTACAAGAGAGGGGCTCTTTTAGGGCAAGCAGCCTGTTTCTTGCTCCCCTAACGGAACAGCTGAAGACGATCACGTCCGTCTTGGAGACTTGGGCAAAAATGGACTCCTACCTCTCCGAGTTGTCGGTGCCCACGGCCGGTCTGGTTGGATTTTTGTCGGATGCATCGGGTGATGGAACGTGGAACGACGCGTACCGTTGCTTGAATGCAACTGTGAGGAATGCAACGAAGGTCGAAAATGGCTTTAATTTCACGGGGTCGGAATCATACGCCATGTGGCCTGTGAACATGTGGACGCATCACTATGTGCACAGCGTTGTGAATTACGAGTTCACGCTTGTGGCGACGGTGACGATTCATAAGGTTACGAACGAAAGCGTTCCTCTGCTGGGCGCGGGCCTGGAGGACAAGGGAAACAGGAAGTTTGTGGGGCTGTCGTACACGCCGGCAAACGAGTGGGGTACAGTCTTCGACGACTTGACAACAATACGCAACAGCACTTGGGAGCCGGGGAAGGAGTACAAAGTGGCGCTCATGCTGCAGGGAAACAAGGGCTCCGTGTACGTGGACGGCGTGCTTGTGGGGAATACTAACAAACTACCACCCCTTAAGTCACGGAGGCATGATATCTCTCATTTTTACTTTGGCGGCGGCGAAAACAGCAGTGTGACAGTAAAGAACGTCTTTTTGTACAACCGCCCACTAAGTGAAGATGAACTCAAAGCAGTTGACCAGTCTGATGTATCTTGGAAAAGTGCAGGTGACAGCTCCACGCTTGCGGATGTGTCTCGGCTGCTACTTTTGCTGTTTGTGGGGCTGTGGGGCTTTGCGGCCCTGTGCTGAGTGGAGCCCGGCGGAGGGGAGTTTATGTTTCTACTGAGAGCAGCTCCGTCTGTCCACGCGCTCTTAAAGTAAATAAAGTCTCAGGTGGACACCAATTTTGTTTTAT